CACTGGATAGCTGGCCAATCAGCGTACACCTCGCTTTTCAGACCGATGAGTTTTGTAAAAATCGACGCGTTTCAGAAAGGCGGGGCATAGAGTAGAAACAATAATGTACAGTATGTGGAAAATAATGTGTTTTTTTAACCTTAAACCGCATAAACACATTTCATTATACCAAATACACAAAATAATGTTCTTTTTAGCAGCATCATATGACCCCTTTAAACATGAACAGAGTTTCAGTATCTTGTCCTGGGGCCACCCACCCCAGACGGAAGCAGAGATCCTAGCTTTATGATGACCTCCATTAGGCCATCATTGGCTACAGCTGTGGGTAGTTCCATGTCTGGAGGGTGAGCACTGAGCAGTTGGAAGTACTCATGATTGATGACTTTTCCTAGCCGGGGCCTGCTCCTTTGGTCCAGGGTTCCTCCTTCCAACATTGGCTTGCCACAATGCATGTTATGTTGTTAACAACATAATTATATAAACAGTGAACAACTGTACAATATAATGTATGGAAATATTAGAGAATACAAATACGGCGGCGCAGTGGCTTCACTTTTATGTCATCGTGAGCAATCCAGTTTTCTAGAGTGAACAACTGTACAATATAATGTATGGAAATATTAGAGAATACAAATACGGCGGTGCAGTGGCTTCACTTTTATGTCATCGTGAGCAATCCAGTTTTCTATTATAGATCAGTGGTTCAGACGCACCATTGGTGTTTGGGACTGGATGACTAACAGGTTTAGGAGTTTTCTTCTTCCACACTCTTCTCGAAGGACTGACAATACTGGAGATTTCAGTGTCCTTTTCTGGAATATATAAGACATTCATATTAAAGGAAAGAAATTAAAATATTGTAAAAAATATATATATTACATGGTAGCAAATCTCAACTTACGATAAACATGTACAGTTGAGAGAAGATCAAAGACTCTCTGTATTTCACTAAATGTTGCTCTACGTGTGGCAAAAGGAAGTACACGGACTCTCTGATCTTTGTTGTCCAGTGGTGCCCCGCGACCTCCAAAAAATATGGTCTTATTGTAACTTGGTGCTCGCAGGAAGATGGCACTTGCCTCCTTCAAATACTCAGCCCAGCTTTCTAGAAGATCGTGAATATCCTGGTTAAAAAAGGACGTATACATCAAAAACAATTCCAGACTCGTGAATTTAGAAAGTCAGTGTTATTCAAGTTTTTATATATAACAAAGGGTTGAAATTCAGAATTGAGTTGGAGGAACGTACCTTGAGCAGCGCTGCCTCATTGTAACGTCTGAGGGCCGCCCCTGCTGATTTAGGCCTGTGGCTATGGTTCTGAGAGTCCCTCAGTCCCTGTGCGGTCCCTCGCTTCGCTCTCACCGTGTACCGATGGAACGTCTTATGCTGCAGAATTTCTTTTCTATGTGTTAGACAAATCAATTAGGGAATAGCATTTAAATAACTCTGGAATATTTGTGGTTATAGACAAACATCTGAACTTTTCACTGACCCCTTAATAACTGCTCCAGCAAAGTGTCCACCACCAGTCATCAGAATGACCCAAATAGTGTTGTTTGATATTTTTAGTAAAGAGGAAACCAAGTCTTCCTCATTGTCCTGAGTATGACAACAGAATTAGAGGAGACTGAAAGAATAGAGTGCTGCAGGAATGACTCCTAAAACTTGGAAATGAGTTAGCATTTCTGAACTTCTGGTTCTATTGTCCTAAAGTCAATGGGTCTTTTGATTGGGTTTTTGGTTAAATGACTTAAATAAGGTCTGCGTGCTTAACACAAGCTCAAGATATTTTCACGTTTTAATCTACGACACTCAATTGTGATTTTTGTGTGTCTTGAAAAAAGGTGGTAGCTAACAAGTGGCTAAATAGGACTAATGGGGCATTAAATGTCACCAAAACCACACCAAACAGGAAAACCCATCTACTAACTAGTCCGCTTTCACTGCCTTGTTTAACCTCACACTCTCTATTCTCACTCAAACTTGACTGAATGAGTTGTCAGAAGCTTAGTGATGGTGACGTTAAAGTGTCCTGTGACATGGTGTAGTTGATTTATAGCCTAACTTACTGTATAATGTTAGCTTTTTACCTCTAGTGATTGTATTCAGGCTTCAAATTTAAAAAAGCTGTGATCATTAGTGAAGATTATCTTGATAAACAAAACTTATAAACCTCTGTTAGTCACAGAGCTTATTTTCTGCAATAATCCAAATGACAACGGGAAAATCCTATTGGGTTTTTGTCAAGGGTACCATGGTGATGCTAACCTCCGGGTTGGCCTACAAAATTCCCTGCAGCACTTTATAGAAAATAAAATTCAGGTATTTCAAAACAACACAATTTGATCTTGAACTGCAGAGACACTCCAGTACATAATCTAGTATGAGAGATGCTACAACAAATGTGCTTCCACCAATCAGAAAGCAAAATGCGGAAAGGTCATTATTTTATAAAATGCAAGTTATTATTTATTCATGTCTATTATTTAATGTTTCTGTGGAAAATAAACACTATTTTGACTAAACTGAAGTTAAACTGGTAATGAAGTGTTTGTCATAATGTGCAGTAGCTCCTATTATGATCCTATTTTCCTCTATCCTATCACTTTCTGTTTCTACTCAACTGCTCTAATCAATAAATGCAAAAAAAAAAATCTCAAAATATATAACCCCATCATTAAAAATCTCTCTGAGAATAATCTGTTAAATGGAGATTCTTCTTGGCTAAAGATCTTTTTATTTAGGCACAGACTAACAAATCTGAGAAATGATGGATAGATTTACTCACTTTCTTGCTTTGCAGAACACAGTGATACAATGACAGGTACTGTCCCTGCATGTTTTGAAAGACTACTTTGGTAGAAAGTCGACGTGTGGACTGATCTGTGTCCAGAGCACTGTCTGTCTCTTCAGGGCCCACTTCATCTCCAAGATTCCCATCCACACTGTCTGAACTGTCTGAGTCTGAACCCGAAATGCTTGAAATATCGCCTGTTAACAGAAAGGCAGACAGGAAGATTATGCAAAAATTACACTTATTCAAACTGGGTGACATAAAACAGTTTCTCAGTGAGGTCATATGAGCATACATGACTCTACCTGTGCCAGTCTTCTTCTCAAACTCCTCCACTGTGACCACTGATCCTCCTTCCAGCCGTTGTCTCAGGTTGAAGCGGTGCCAGTCAAGTTTGTAGTGCTCCATCTGGTAAAAGACTGGGGCTGCATTAACATACACATTAAATGTCTTTCTATCCCTCTATACAAAGCTATGACATGACTTCAGAAGACTAGCACAGTAGTAGTTTGGACTACTTTTATGGTACTTTATGTTGCTTTTTGGTCACCCTGTAAGCAAAAGAGCAGCATCAACATTGTTAATTAATGGTATATTCTCCTGAGAACCAGAAAAAAATGTTTTGTGAATTTTTTTTATGTCATTACATTGGTTGGAGCATAAGAAACAAATGGAGAAAAAAATCTTTTTGGAAAAAAGATATTTTATTCATATTTTATTTTATGTCCTTTGTAGAGGACCAGCCAGAGACTCACCGCGCCTTCAAAAAAATCCAACTGAGGTGCCTTTGTAGAGGACGCCAGGACCAAGTTATTAAAAAAAATTATAATTAATAGACATGAAAAGGCATGTATAGGCAAAAACAATGTTTTATTTTTTCATTCACCAATCGGTTCTTAGGTTTCAGGCTATTTTTAGCCAAACTTTGTACAAAGATGATTCTCAACTATATTATGAAAGATAGAATGATTTGATATACTACTGTACTTTATGGAATATGTGCATAAAATATCCATAAATTGGTTTCCCATTGGTGTTCTTGGGGCAAACCATAATGAAAATGAAGTGTAATAATAGGAATAATAACTTGGCAACATTTTCATAAGAATATCTCATATTTCACAGGAATATTGATCTATAATTTATTTTCCTATTGACTTGTTGTGTCTCCCCAAAATGCCTGATTAACATGCTGTTTGTCCTGGTGTCCTCTACAGAAGACATGTATGACAATTATGCCCTGTTTCGTAACAAAAAGTAATATTCCGATTTGAAACCCCATAACTTTTTTTTTCTGAAATGTTTATTTACGAGAAACAATTTGAAAATTAGTCAGATTTAAATGATAATTACAAAATATTATTATATTTCCATAGTGCTAAATTTGATCATTCTGTCAATATTAGTCATATTTAAAGTCACTTTATTGGCAACTGTGGCATGTATGTCTCAGAGAAATTCACTAAAATATAATGTCCTCTACAGAGGACAAAAGTCTATGCCTGGGTCCCAGGAGGATATCTTTTGTTGAAGCTATCAGTGTGCATACCTTATTTTTATCTTATTTTCAAATACCTTCTTGCTTCAAATCAAAGTTTGTATAATGTGATTCACCTCATAGCTGGTTGGTTTGGTCCATGGCTTATAACTCTTTAACAAACACTAAAAAAAATTCTATTAGAAAAATTAATGGGGAAAAATGGACCGAGGCTGCTGAAGAAGCTGTCAGGCATTATTCGTTTTTACAAGAAACTAAATTAATTGCAGACCTTTAACACTTAGGATTAAAGGTTCTACTACAAACTCACACTTAAATTGATCGTATCAGCACTGTAATGAATTACTCATCAGGATTGACCCTACAGTACCTGCTCCTCTCGACTCTCAAAAGGACACTGACAGGCCGAGCAGAACATCCTATCTGACACCTCACCGGCGGACGCAGTCTTCCTTGAGCCAACATCTGTACGTGTAATGAAGAGTGTGGTATTAATAAGACCTGATCAGCAGCAGCCGTGTGTGATCTCATTAGAGCAGTCAGTCGGACTCTCTTACCCTCACCGGACGCAGTAGCAGAGGGCTGGGGAGGTTCGGGATGACCCAGCAGTCCAGACACCTCTCTCAGCCCAGCGGTCACGGTCTCATCCACACACAGCGAGAACACACACCGCTGCTCCGGTGAAGCCATAATTCAGTCGACAAAATAAACCACCGCTATCTCCTAAACACACGAAGGGTGGCATATCATGACGGCTAAATAGGGTGAGAGAGTTTTACACACGGAAGAACAAAAATGTGAGCTTTACTCATTACACTAAACATTCAGTATCGGGACTGGCGATAAAACCAAAGCAACGTCCATGTTTGTCTCAATCTGACAGCTGCTTCCCTACTAGAGTCAAGCCTGATTCAGCACTTACACTGCAAAGATAAACATGCTGTGCTAAACGCTAAAATTCAGCTCACTTAACTATCAGTGATCAATGTTAATGTATATATTTACCTTAATGGCAAAAGCATCGGTGCCTTACGGTTTGAATTTATATTTTCAGTCCGAGTAAGCTGAAGTTAATCATACTACATTAAACGCGTGTTTGTGCTCTACGGTGGCTGACAAGTGTCAGAAAACTACAGCGCGATTTAATGCGAAGACTTCTTCTTCTAATAACGTTTTATGGCGGATGGCAAACCAACTTCTGGTGCATTTACCGCCACCAACTGGACTGGAGTGTGGAGCACTAATAAGCAACTAATATATACATATTTATATTTATCTATATTTTATATAATAAAAAAAATAAATAAAAAAAACACACATTCCTAAATTCTCCTGATTAATCCTATTTCTTTAATGTATTTAACAATAGCACCATATATTTTACCTTGTTCTGCATGCTCTTTCAAGAGGTTTGACAAATTAAATGATTCAACACCCATGTTTCTTACTTCCTTAATGAGTTTTAACCTTTCTTTTTTATATTTTTTACATTTTATTAAAACGTGCTCTATTGTTTCTGCCTGATTACAAAAAATACATTGACCTGTTTCATGTTTTCCTATATTAATGCGAAGACTTGATGCCAAGGACTTCCAAATATGATGATATCCTTGTAATTGTATCCTTTTTACTTAAAATATAATAGTGAAAATATATTTTCACGTAAATAACTGAGTGAGCATTAATTGGCTTTCAAGTCATTGTACAAAAGCCAAAAGAAACGATCATCTATTTTCTGTAAAATATTTATTTATGTTAAATTGGCAGCATATCTTTTACTATCAATCATTAGAGTTAAGTTAGATGTATTCAGTTTTCAAATGTATTTGCATACGGCTCTTCAAGCACAAAAATACTGTCCCAAAGTTTTACAGAAGAAAAATTTCCACAGAAGAAATTAATTCACACCAGTTTTGAAAAACATGAGCATGAGTAAATGATGTCAGATTTAGACTATTTATTTATTTATTTTGAAGGTGCCCTTAACATTATTATTTTTTTTTTTCTTTCATTTTCTTTGAATTTCACCCTGGAGGAGTGTCTGCAGGTTAAGCACATCTGTTTGAATTTATCATTGCCAGAGGACAATCTTTTGAATCTTTACACTTTATTCAGTAGTGACTACCAATGAACCTCCAATTAATATTTCGATTGTTTTCATCAAATAATAAAAGACACAAAAATCACTATATTTTTCCATGTTTATTGCAGCGTGTACTAAATAAAAAATAAATAAAAGGTTCACTTCCGTGTTTCTCTTTTTTTCTCTGCTTTTTCTGTAGACTTACTCTGGTTGGATGAACAGGTTTTAACTAGATTTTCACCCTGCGAAACTGGAAATTGAGACCAGTTGAATATCAGCAGCATTATTTTTGCATGGCCTTTACCTGCAGACGGCAAAACTCTGGCTAAAGGTTATGACTTGATGTACCTTCCTCTGTGTTTGCAGAAGCGTCTGCCAGTGCTTTCCTCAGCTGCTCACATTTGAGCTTCAGATTATGCTCCTTCTCCAGCAGGCTGCTTTCCTCCTCCCGCAGGCTTCTCAGAAGAGCTCGCTCTTTATCTTTATCTAAATTCTTGGAAACAGAAGAAAATTAAATTTCCAGAATTGTAATTTTCACCATTCAGGGTACCCTCTTATACTCATTTTCTTAAGTTTATTTATTCAGGAGAATATCAAATGTGATCATTTGTCACATTAGATATTCTCCTGAATAAATAAACCCAAGAAAATCCATCTACATAAACACTGTTATAGGAAAAACAAGACAGCATATTTTGGTAGGATCACTGATCAACAGAACCACAGACAGCTGGGGCCTGTACCATGAAGCCAGATTAGCTGGCTAGCCAGGTAAATTTCAGTTTAGTTTGCACCAATCCTGGGTTTTAGGTACCATGAAAGTGGCTTGGCTTTTAGCGGCATTCATTGCCTTAGTAACTTACACTCCACGGCTAACCTGCTCTGGGGCAGGTTATGTTCTGGTTTAGAGATCTCAAACCGAAATTTGACCAATCAGCTTCAAGCAAAGTGACACATCTCTGACGCAATAAAGCCACTCCCCCAGTTTCTCTTACTCCAAATTAAAGGACGCTACCAGAAAAACATTTTTAAAGATAAAATTGTCTGAATTTAGAGATTATTATTTTTTATAATTATTTTATATGATTTGTATAATTATTATACCCTTAATCCATTACACAAGCTAGCTTAGTTTAATAGTATTAAGCTTTTATTTTAAATTAATATAATCATATAGATAATATGCAATATAAATACGTTTTAGAATCAATAGCTTTAAACATGACTACATATGAGCTTAGATTTTTAAGTGTTTTTATACCTATAAATATTATCAACTCTATAAACTAACTTTATCATTTTTACTTGCACTTATAAGGCCAGATGTTTTCTTTAAGTTTTCCTCTTTAATGGATAGATTGTTTCATCTTGTAAATGTGTTTAAATTCTTCATATTTTATTTCCAATATTTTAATCTTTGGTAGGGAATCGCACTGACTCTCTCTCAAGAAGCGAATCAGTTTCAAGGCATGTGATTGGCTGTTCATTACTGATGCCACTCTCTCATGTGCACGTGCTCCATTAACTCAGGATCAAGCTTGAGTTGACAGAGAAAGTTGATGATCAGCTTCATGGTACCAACAAAGCCGGATTGGACTGGTTTGGTTTTGTCAACTCAAAAATAATCCTGTAACCCCGAGTTTGTTCAGCCACCATCATGGTACAGGCCCCTGGTAGTTGATTGAGCAATTTATCTGGATAGTCTTACCTAGATAAAGCTAATTCTTCCAGCTGGTTGGCAAGGCTTTTCTTCTCCTGCATGAGTGTCTAGTTCAAGCAATGCATTCCACAAGCCTTCATCCATCTAGACCATCATCATCAACCTCCGGTCCATCTCCTCTCTGCTACAATAATATTAACAGAAGCTGCTTCATGTCTGCAAAAGAAAGGCCACCTACAACCCCGATGCATTCAGCTAAATAATTACATAAGTTGTTTGGTACAGTAAACTGTGTTTTTATTAGTTCCTGAGGTAAAATTATGCCATCCTATGATTTTCCCACTACGCTTACGTTATAAATAACTCATACATGCTGAATCTTTATTTCAGACAGATAATAATGGTATAAGTATTAATTACCATTTGTTAACATCTTTGTTTACTTGCTCCACCTCGCCTTTAGTAAGCTGTAGTTCAGTTTTTGGCATCCTTGAGTTATTTAAACAAATCCTGACAGCGAAAAAAACAAAACCCAAACCCAAAACTCATGTGAAGCATAGCATTCGTGTATTTGGCTTGCTAATGTGGGTAAGCAGCACACGTCGCCGCGAGTCTCACCTGTACTTCTTTATCGTCCTGAAAGGAGATGTTTGAAGAGATTTGTGGGGTCTCCATTACAGCCAAGCAAAACGTTTTCTCGCATACAAACCGACATTACTGTTTGATTAACAAAAGACACCCCTATACTATATAGCACAAACTGCAATTCATTAAATGGACCGAACCGAGTACAATCTGATTTGATGACGTGCAAAGCGGCTGCGGATTACTATATACACGCAATTGACTGCACATGGTTTACTTTTATATTAGATTCTACATATTTTTCTGTTGAATAAAAAATAAACATGACTTTTTTTTTTGCGAGACTGATACAAATAAATAACGGATCATAGGAATTATGTCGGTGCGGAAAACATACAAACATGAACAGTGACAAGTCTAAATGAACTTCCGTTAATAGAATGTGAACAAAAATGACACCGAACTTTTGTCATCACCGCCTGCACATCAGCGCACAAGAGCCCGGATAGCTCAGTCGGTAGAGCATCAGACTTTTAATCTGAGGGTCCAGGGTTCAAGTCCCTGTTCGGGCGGAAATATTTTATGAACTAAATAAAAACACCGCTATTATACAATGAAAATAGTGGTTAAGTATGTGTAAGTGCATGTGGCAATTAAAAACAGCATAAAAAAGAAAAACAAACATTTGGTTGGCCACTGAGAGTACACATTATGTAACAGGAAGCTGGTAAAAAGCCCTTAAAAGGCAGGCACATGAACCTAGACAGCAAATCTCAGTGCACTCATGAAGTACATACTGGTTATCATACTGCTCTTCTTCTTAGCAGGACCATGTTTGTCCCTGCCTGGTCAGGTAACTGCATATCAGTCGGTGTATATTTTGTTTTTATGAATCAAAACCACATATTTTGGTCAATTTTTCTCGCAGATTTCCTCTCACTCGAATGTTGGAGCAAGAACACAAAGGAGGAACTACTCTGGTAAAGTGTGTTGAATTAATTGTCATTATTCATTGAAAATGAATTATATTTTAACAGTTTTATAACTTCCCCCAGATGATATTGAAGAAAACACTTCAATTGCAATGGACAGGATCATAGATGTAAATGACTTTCAAGGTAAAGCTTTTGCACAAGTCTGTAAAGATGCTAATGTTCTATAGCTTCTGTTTTATTGTAATATCCAAATGCTCTTATAAATAAAGGTTCTAAAAAGGAATTTTCACAGCGATTCCATAGAAGAACTATTTTGGTTTGCCTAAAGAACCATTCAGTGAACAGTTCTTAAAAGGACCACTGTTTTCCTTAGTGCGAAGGACAATTTAATACTCGAAAGAACCTTTTTCCACTATAAAAGACATTTTGTGCAATGGAAAGTTTCCATGGATGTTGAAATGTTTTCATGGAACCACAGATGCCAATTAAGAACCATTGTTCTCTTGCTGTAGGTGTCATTTCCGTGGATGGCACCAACCTCAGAGAAGGAGATATAGCCGTATCCGGTAGGAGTCAGAAGAACTGTTTCGCCAGGAGCTGCCTGTGGACCAAATCTGTGGATGGAAAAGTGTACATTGCATACTCACTCTCTCATGCATACAGTAAGCAGGAAAAGCAAACACATTTATTTTCAGAAACAGTGCCACAGTAATCAGCAACTAAATCTTGCTTTTTGGTTTCAATTGTTCTTCTGCATAGGCGAGGAAGACGTGAAGAACATTAAGAAAGGCATGAAGCTCATTGAAAAGGACACCTGTGTGCGCTTCGTGCCCAGAACTCACCAGAGGGACTACCTGGATATTC